CTCTGTCACTCAGGCTGGAGTGCAGTGGCATGATCTCAGCTCACTGCAACCTCTGCCTCACAGGTTCAAGCGATTCTCCTGCCTCAGCCTCCTGAGTAGCTGGGATTACAGGCAAGCACCACCATGCCTGGCTAATTTTTGTATTTTTAGTTGGTCAGGCTGGTCTCAAACTCCTGACCTCATGATTACCCACCTCGGCATCCCAAAGTGCTGGGATTACAGGCATAAGCGACCGCACCCAGCCTGTACGTGCACTTTTTAAAGAGGTAAAAACATTGTTTTTCAATAAGAGGTTCCAAAACACATAAACTATAAAGTCTCAAAAGACACAAATATAAACTTGAATAAGTGGAAAGATGTAGCCTGTCCGAGGTTCTCCAGATTTAAGCTCTAAAGTGAAGACTGAGGCCCTCATTATTTATGAAGGATGTGTTCCAGATAAAACCAGCAAGAGAACTGAAGCAGGATAAGAAAGGGGAACCAAGCCAGTGGACAATCTCTGGCCAAAATACCATCGTTAGCAGTTTTCAGGATTGGACTGCAGGGAGCACTAGTGTATAAGTCTGGCCACGGAGTCTTGTGACCTTGTGCGCCTGGTTTTCTTTGCTTTTTGAATTTCATTGGCAAATGGTCTTTCCAAAGCTGGGATTAAACATCCTGCCCTTTCACTTTCTACATAAACTGTGCAATTCACAGCAATGTGGCTCCATTTGCCTGGAGATAGGATTGTAATGAACCTCACAGAGGGTAAAAGGGATGGAGTATGTCTAGTCGAGCTCTGATTTTCTAAGTCCTGGAATAGGAGTATATATCTCAATGTTTTCTAAGTAAATTAATGCATTGAATGCAATTCTACCCCATGATGGTCGGAATAATGCCCTCCAGAGATGACCTTTTCCTTGGAACCCATGAATATGTTATGTTACAAGACAAAGGGAAGTTAATGTTACAAGTGGAATTAAGCTTACTAATCAGCCAATTTAAAGAGGTTATTATGGGCCGGGCATGGTGGCTGACACCTGTAATCCCAGCACTCTGGGAGGCCGAGGCAGGCATATCACCTGAGGTCAGGAGTTCGATACCAGCCTGACCAACAAGGTGAAATCCGTCTCTACTAAAGATACAAAAAATTAGCGGGGAGTGGTGATAGGTGCCTGTAATCCCAGCTACTTGGGAGGCTGAGGCAGTGAAATCGCTTGAGCCTGGGAGGTAGAGGTTGCAGCGAGCTGAGATTGTGCCACTGTACTCTAGCCTGAACAACAAGAGCAAAACTCTGTCTCAAAAAAAAAGAAGGAAAAAGAAAATATTGTTCTGGATTATCTTGGTTGACCCAATGTAATCATAAAGATCTTTAAATGTGGAGGAAGGCAGAAGAGTCCATGTCCTATGACGTGATGTGAGAAAGACTTGACTAGACATTGGTGGCTAGACCAAAGATGGAAGGGGTCATGGGCTAATGCATGCCAGCAACATCTAGCTGATGGAAGAGGGGAAAAGGAGAGTCTTCTCTAGAACAATATCAAAATATCTGGAACATAATAAAATATTTTTAGAAGTCCCTGTAGTGTAGTATTGGTGCAGGAATGGACACATAGACAAACTGAATAGAATAAAATATCATGATATAGATTCAAATGCATGTGGAAATGTAGTATATAATAAGGAGGACAGCTTAATTAACTGTGTAAAGGATATCTTTGTACTAGTGGTATTTGGTTAATTGTACATTCCTTAGGAAAAAGATAAAATTGGTCACATGCCTCACAATAACACCAACATAAACTCCAAATGGGTTAAAGATCTAAATTTTAAAAAAGAAATTGCATAAATAGGTAAAAAATCATGGGTAAAATCCTCTAATCCTTGTTAGTAGGAGGACTCTGTACTATGAGTCAAATTCCAGTGGCAGTAAGTCAAAACATTCTTAAGTAGATCCTATTAAATATATATATACACACACATATGTATATATGTATAATATATATACACACACATATATGTATATATATAAAATATATATATATTTTAACTCAAGAAAAGTAGATGTTATATGACAAACTGAGAAAACTATTTACAGTCATGCCATGAAGAATTAGCATTTTTTTTTAATTTATTATTTTTTTGGGGGGGGTATATCTGAATTTTTTTTTTTATACTTTAAGTTCTAGGGTACATGTGCATAATGTGCAGGTTTGTTACATGTGTATACTTGTGCCATGTTGGTGTGCTGCACCCATCAACTCGTCAGCACCCATCAACTCGTCATTTACAACAGGTATAACTCCCAATGCAATACCTCCCTCCTTCCTCCGTGATAGGCCTGTGTGTGATTCCCCTTCCCAAGTCCAAGGTGATTCATTGTTCAGTTCCCACCTAGTGAGTGAGAACAGTGTGGGTTTGGTTTTCTGTTTCTTGCGAAACTGTTGCTTGCTAGAATGATGTTTCCAGCCCTGCATCCATGTCACTACAAACGACACAAACTCATCCTTTTTTATGGCTGACTAGTATTCCATGGTGTATATGTGCCCCAATTTTTCTTAATCATCCTGTCACTGATGGGCATTTGGGTTGATTCCAAGATCTTTTGCTATTGTGACGTGCTGCAATAAAATAATACGTGTGCACTGTGTCTTGTATAGCAGCATGATATTACTATCTTTGGGGTATATAGGTAATGGATGGCTGGGTCATATGGTACTTCTAGTTCTAGATCCTTGAGGAATCACCATATTGTTTTCCATAATGTTGAACTAGTTTACAATCCCACCAACAGTGTAAAAGTGTTTCTATTTCTCCCACATCCTCTCCAGCACCTGTTGTTTCCTGACTTTTTAATGATTGCCATTCTTAACTGGTGTGAGATGGTATCTCATTGTGGTTTTGATTTGCATTTCTCTGATGGCCAGTGATGATGAGCATTTTGTTTCATGTGTCTGTTGGCTGTATGAATGTCCTCTTTTGAGAAATGTCTGTTCATATCCTTTGCCCACTTTTTGATGGGGTTGTTTTTTTTTTTCTTGTAAATTTGTTTGAGTTCTTTGTAGGTTCTGGATATTAGCCCTTGAGTTAGTATTTTTAACCTATAGTTTCTAAAATCAGAGGAAAAGTCAATCAACCTTGTAGAAAGAAGTGCATAAGATACAAACAAATCACGGAAAAGAATTGCTATTGGCCCTGAACTCAACCCTATTTCTAGGAATCATTTTTAAAGACTTATTTTCAAATATAAGAAAAGGTATACAGTTGACCCTTGGACAACATGAGTCTGAACTGTACACTTCCACTTATATGCTGATCTTTTTCAGCTGAACACAGATCAAAAACATGGTATTTGCAAGATGTGAAACCCACCTATACAGAAGGCTGACTTTTTGTAAAGGCAAGTTCTGAAGGGCTGACTGCAGGACTTGAGGACATGCAGATTTTGGTATAGTGGGCAGTCCTGGAACCAAACCCCAATATATACCGAGGGACAACTCTACTCACAGACCTATTCATTGTGGTATTATTGTAAGAGCAAACAGCAGAAAATTATTCAAAGGACCAAAAATTAGGAATTGGTTGGATAATCTAAGGCACTTCAACACGGAGTATTATACAACTGTATAAAGAATGAAGAATTTATATACTACTATGGTACCATCTCAGGATATATTATAAAATTAAAAACATGAGGTCACAAAAGCTACACAGAGTATGCTACAATTTTACCTAAAAAAGGAGATGCGGCCGGGTGTAGTGGCTCACGCCTGTAATCCCAGCTCTTTGGGAGGCCAAGGCAGGCAGATCACAAGAACAGGAGTTTGAGACCAGCCTAACCAATATGGTGAAACCCTGTCTCTAGTAAAAATATGAAAATTAGCCGGGCATGGTGGCGGGCATCTGTAGTCCCAGCTACTGGGGAGGCTGAGGCAGGAGAATGGCTTCAACCCAGGTGGTGGAGGTTGCGGTGAGCCGAGATTGCGCCACTGCACTCTAGCCTGGGTGACAAAGCGAGCCTCCATCTAAAAAAAAAAAAAAAAGGAGAAGCGTGTGTTTATGACTATGTTTATAGATGTTTAAAATTAAAAGAGCAATGGAGGATAAGTTGTAACATAATAAATGAAAGTCTATAGGAGTGAGATAGAAAATAGAGGTAAGGAGAGGGAAGAGAACTTGGGTGGGTGGCTGAATAAATCTGGTTTTAAACATTTGGTGTTGGAGGTGATTTATTTTTCTCAAATTCTTAATACAAGTTTAAGTTGTTTAAAGGCCCTACATTATACACACACACACACACACACACACACACATACATATATATGTGTATATATATCTATTCAATGAAACAAAAGAGTTTGTTAGTTTTTAGAGATATCATAACAAAGTACCACAGATTGAGTGGCCTATATGGCAGAAATTTATTTTCTCAAAGTTCTGAAGGCCAGAGGTCTGAGATCAAGATGTCAGCAGTGTTGGTTTCTTCTAAGGGACCCTCTCCTTGGCCTATATGTAGCTATCTTCCTCCTTTGTCTTCACATGGTCTTTATGCTGTGTGTGTGTGTCCTAAAGCTCCTCTTCTAACAAAAGACCCAGTCATATTGGATTTGGACCCACCATAATGACCTCGTTTCTCCTCAGTTACGTCTTTAATGATCCAATCTCGAATACAGTAGCATTACGAGGTATATTGGAGGTTAGGACTTCAACACATGTATTGGGGTGGGAGGTGAAGGAAAGACACAATTCAGCTCATAACATTATCCGTGAATGAGTGGAGTTGGTGCCTTTTGTGTAACTATAGAGAGAAGGAGGATTCCAAGTGGCAAGTGCACCCAGTAATGAGATTGTACCTGCCTGGTTGATACGCTTGAAGGATGAAAAGAAAATGCAGATGAGAGATGAACATTCCAAGTAACCAGTACACCTGGTAATCACACCGTACCTCCCTAAAGGACATGCCCCAGGGTTGAAAAGGGCATGCAAACGACTTATATTCTCTGCGGGGCTGGGTGTTCTGCAAAAGCTGTGGTATACCTTGGCTGAGACTGGCAGTGGTGAGTCATTTCAAATGTGGGGCACAAGATCAAGGGAGCTAGACCACTCCATCCCTCCCAAGTCCCCGGGCATTAAGAAAGGGGAGGGTCCTCAAATCCAGCCCAGCTCTGGTCTAGAATTGAAGGGGGAGGGGAAGCCGGGATAGAAAATGTTCATGCCTCAATCTGTGCCCTTTGTCTCTCTAGCATGCACCATGGACCCTTCGTTCCTGCTGTCCTTTCCTTTGCTCCTGACTCTATTGCCACCTTGTAATGCTTGTCTTTGTAAATTACTGCACCCCCAGACTGTTTACTGCGAGACGGATGTCGGTGAGTCTAGGGAAACACGAGGGAAGTCTACCAAGGAGAGGGTCTCACCACTGGGGTATAGAACTGCGGAGCTGGGGGAGGTTTTAGGATGAGGGAATCTTAAGTCACTAAACCCCTATGTCCCCTGACCCATTTCTTCTTCCTTCAAGTCATAATTGTTGATATACTGGGACCAGGAGAAATCACCAGAACTAGACGAAATTTCAAAGTCAACGTCACTCAGGTAAATCCAATAACCCCTTTCTTCTCAGCCCCTTCCCCAGAAATAAACAAGTCTCTCCAATCTGCTCTTGCTGAGGGAGTTGGTTTCTGGAGTCCAAGAACTTCTGTAAAAGTATACGATCCTAACCCCCTCCCCCTCCCCATCACAGATACTGAAGGCTCCCAAGGGGACCTCTGAAATCCGTTATATCTACACACCCCGCAGAGAGGAGGACTGTGGTTACACAGTGGTCAATTCTCACCAGTCACAATTACTTATTGCAGGTGAGCACTCCTATTTATGCACAGCACCTCCACCTCGTACCTCCCCCTGAAAGCACCATCTTTCTTCCCAACTCCAGCACCACCAAAGACCAAGCAAAAGCTCATTCTCCAGGGTCTGACAGATTCTTCCCAGGGAAACCCCGAACCAGCCAATCATGGCTGACTGTATCCGCCTTAGGGCTTCCTTACTTCCTGGGGCATACTACGTATAAGTCATAGCATGTCCTTCCCAAGGGTCAACTCTCCCTGCTGCACTGACTCTCAGGCCATGCCCTCTGCTTGCCACAGGTTACCTGAGTAGGGGGAAGGTGTACTTCACAAGATGCCATCTGTTTTATTTTTGGTATCGGCTTACGCCACATCAGCAATTAGGTTTCCAGTCAGTGTACAACGCAGGATGTGACTGTCAAGTGAGTGGACTCCTCAGCATGTGGGTTTGGTTTTTGTGATGCCTGGGCACTGGTTCTTGCTGCCTGTCCCTGTTCCCAGATCCTTTTTGCTATCTCTGCCCTCTAACAGGCCTCTGCTCTCCCCTGCCTTCTTCCTATCCCAGGCCTTCCTGTTCCCTGCCCCGTCACTGTCCGAGGTAGCACCGCTCAGTACCCAGACCACTGGTGGTCTTATCTTTCTAGGATGGGGTATGTTAACAGGAGGTGGGAAGGGAATGCCAACAAAGGCATCTTGTCCCCGCTTCGCCTCTAGATTCTGCCCTGCCTTCTCTGCTGGCGCAACTGCCCTGAACCTGATGTCACAGACTGTACATGGAAACAAGCAAACTGTGAGTACAGTATATGGCAAGGAGACGACTCCCTGTTTTCCACGTGTGTTCCTTCGACATCTGGTCGGTGTGGGTGGACGAGAATTTCACTCCGGCCCTCAAATACAACTTCGCCAAACTCTTTGCTTACAACGATTCCTCCAAGCTCTTCACTTACGCCTTTACCATAGGTTTTAATATTCTCTTTCTTGATCTGGGTGATGTTGATAGAACTGGGTTCATTTTGTAAGCAATCATTGAGTTGTACGCTGAAATTTGGTTACTCTAAGCGCCTGTCGACCAATGAATGGATAAAGAAAGTGTGGTATATACACACTATAGATTACAACTCAGCCATAAAAAAGAATGAAATAATGTATTTTGTAGCAACTTGGATGGAGCTGGAGGTCATTATCCTAAGTGAAGTAACTCAGGGATGGAAAACCAAATATTGTATGTTCTCACTTATAACTGGGGGCTAAACTATGAGGACTCAAGGGGAAAAAAAGCGATACAATGAACTTGGGGACTTTGAGGGAAAGGCTAGAAGGGGAGTGAGGGATAAAAGACTACATATGGGTACAATGTATGCTGCTCGGGTGACAGGTGTACTAAAATCTCGGAAATCACCACTGAAGAACATATCCATGTAACCAAAAACTACCTGTTCCCCAAAAACTATTCAAATAAATTAATTAAATAATAAAATTGTGGTTACTTTCTGCAAGTAGTGTATACATCAACAAAATTTACAAAATAAATCTGAGGCCAACAAACCCCACCCTAGTGACAAATCCTCTTGATCTTCTGAGTTCTTCATTCACTCTTTGTCTCTCATTCATTTGGCAACTGCATGCCTGACATCAATCTTTTTCATGCCAAAGTTTCTTCCATCTCCTCATGCTACCAAAAGCAAAAGCTCTGGATATAGATAAAAGGATAGATCCAGAAAAACTAGAGGCTCGACTTGACATGCTCTGAACCTTCCCTAGATGATTAGCTGAATCAATCATCACTGAAAGAGGGAGAAAGAATATTCCTTATTCCTGCAGAATCAAGACTCCACTGCAAATATTTTTAAAAAAATCATTCCCTGACAGAATAAAAGCCTGTGAATAGAAAACAAAACTTTTAGTTTTTATAAAAACACAAAGGACAACATTTCTAGGACTTGAAGACACAAAAGGCAAAGATGAAGAAAAATACTGATAAATGTGACTGCTGTAAAATAAAATACATTTCAAAAAAAAAACAACTAAAAATACTATGAAAATATAAGAGGTAGACACACAAATCAGAATTGTAGAGGATTTGTAACTTTATAGTACACATACAGTCTGAACAATGAATGTTTTGAGGAATTGATTGAAATTTTCCTTTGAACAAAATTTACCAACTTAATGTTTTTTCAGATTTCTTCCAAGAACAATGTCTTTTCTCTTTATTTGATTTTTGGGAAAATTTTTATTTTTATGTTTTTGGGTTTTTTTTCTAGCTTGCAGTAATTTTAGATACACAAATAAAAGTGCCAAGGTGATTACACACAATTTCTGAATACCCTTTACCTAGCTAGCCCTAATGATAACATCTTATGTAACCATGATACATTTGTCAAAACTAAGAGATTTAACATGGATACAATACTATTAACTAAATGACAGAGTCTTTTCAGATTTTTCAGATTTCTTTAGCTTTTCTTTTTTCCCTGTACCAAATTCCAATCCAGGATGCCATAGCAATTAGTTGTTCTGTTCCTTACTCTCCTCTGGTCTATGATAACTTCTGATTTTCTTTGTTTTTTTGTGACTTGATGATTTCAAAGAGGACTGTTCAGGTATCCTGTAGAACGTCCCTCCCTCAATTTGAAATTGTCTGCTATATTTTCATTATTAGAATGGGTCTACAGATTTGGGGAAATAATACCACAAAAAGGAAGTGCCTTTCTCATTGCATCTTATCATGGGTACATACCATCGATACGACATCATTACTGTTGTTAACTTTGATCACTTGGTTAAGGTGGTTTCTCTGCCTTAAAAGCCAGTATTTTTGCCTTTCTGTATTTTATTGGCCATGTCCTCCCCACCTTTTGTGTTAATTGGACAATGCAATTGAGAAACCCATATCTAGGCTTTGGGATAGTCATTACTACCAGGATATCACTGCTTCCAGGCCATCTCAGTAGACAGAACTGGGAAATATATGTACAGATAATAACCCATTTAGACATACCTAGTTATAACTATTTCTATGTTTCTCTCTCTGTGTGTATATATACACACACACAGATACACATATACAGATAGATATATACAGATATATCTGCATATATATACATACACACAGATATATATACACACACACATATATATCATACTGATATATCCAAGTGAAACAAGTAACACAGGGTTCATTGTTAGCCCTCAACCCCTGATTACTTGTACTTTTTTTCTGACAGTAAAAAGTCTGACTCCTATCTTATACAATTTATGTACTTATTTTTTCAACATTAGCATACATGCGTTTTCAGAATTGTCAGCATATGACCCTGTGAAAAATAAATGTACCAACTAGAACGTCAGGTTTAAATACAGTGTTTATATAAAACACTCAACTCCTTCAAACTCGAATGCACACAGTTCCTCCCCTGGGGCCCCAAAGGTTTCCAAGGGCACCTTATCTCACTCTGGATGGGAAAAGCTTTGTAGGGGAGATGGTTCTCCTGGCACAGACTCAGAAATCCCAGTGGATTTAAGTGCAGTGTAAAGAATAAAGACACTGTGTGATATTTATACACCCCTTGCCCCACCCCATTTATCCAGACGCTGCATTTCAGTCTTCCAATGAACAGGTCTTCCCATTTAAAATTCTCAGCATAAGATGGAGCTTCTGGCAAAGAATCGAGAATCTGGGTGGGCATAGTTTTGGTTTGTAGGCAGAAAGAGGCTGCATAATCCCTGCACAAATCATCCATCATCTCATCCTCCCTGGAGTTCAATCAACAACCTTAGAATCAGAGGAGGATTCCAGGACAGGAATACCTATAGAACAGGTGGAATAACTGGCACAGAGAGGTTTCCTGTGGCTACCATCTGGATTCTACAGACAATGGCACATGACTAGTGGAGTAAGCATCCATGAAGGAAGACCAGGGTGCCATCCAGGAGGCTTTCTCCTGCCAGGCACCTGAAAACTTGATGACCCAGAGACAGCCCAGCCAGAAACAGACTTGGGAAGAGCAGGGAGTGGGTGCCGCTGCAGTGAAGCTTCACCAAGTTGAGTGCTTTCTTTCTGAGAAACAGATCATCCAAAACAGACTGGGAGCTAAAGATAGAATTCTGTTTCTCTGTAAAATGCCGTTAACACACCAGCTAGATGTATTTCCCAAATGCAGGGTGATCACTCTCTTATTTGAAGACATAAAGAGTACTGAAGACTTGAGAGAAAAGGTCACAGAAGTCATCTTCAATGGTTCATTAATAAATGCTATAGTGACTATTGATCTATTTCAAATACTTGTGGCATAAACAAAGCAGTTCACCTCTACAAAGTGGGAAAAATAAAGACCAGAATTCTATGTATGGAAATTATTCCCAATATTTCCCCAAATAATATTATTTTAGAGGCTTTGAAAAAAATTATGTCTCAATAAATGGCACTTTAATTTTAATTTTTTTACAGTAAAAAGAGAGAAGAAATCAAGAACTTTATATGTTAAGTAGAAGGTCATCAGGTTTCTCTGAAAAATCTCCCTAAAATAACAAGTATTATAAAAGTCAAAAGTTATCTGAGCCATCTTTGCAAGAAGAAAGTATAGAAACATTGGATGATATCATTTGTAGAATATTAACAAAATTGTTTTGTGAAATGTCAAAAACACTAACAACAATTTTCACCTTTAAAAAAATTGACTTGGCTGGTTGTGGGGGTTCATGCCTGTAAATCCCAGCACTTTAGGAGGCCAAGGAGGGCAGATTGCTTGAGCCCAGGAATTCGAGACCAACCTGGGCAACATGGTAAAACCTCATCTCTACTAAAAATACAAAAAAAAAAAAAATAGATGGACCTGATGATGCGTATCTGTAGTCCCATCTACTTGAGAGGCTGAAATGGGAGGATCACTTAAGCCTGAGAGGTTGAGGCTGTGGTGAACTGTGATCACACCACTGCACTCCAGCCTGTGTGACAGAGCGAGACCCTGTCTCGAAAACATAAAAATGTTTTTCCTTTCCTGATTACAAAATAAATATATGTTTCATTATAGAAATTTTAAAAATACAGAATGATATAAAAGGAAGAAAATAAAATCAACTCCTCATTCTACCTCTTTTAATATTTTAAAAGATAACCACTGTTAATATTGTTTCTTATTCACTTCTAGTCTTTCAACTCTAGTCAATTATATTATAAAACTGTACTATAATTGAAAAGAAAAGACAATGACTTCTCTGCCATTAAGTCCATAGGACTTGACCACAGCGATACAAGTATCACCATTGCTAGTACCAGAAACCCTCATCCCTAATATGTATCTCCCTCATTCACTATGTGAGTCACATCACTGTTCCAAAAGATGCCTTAACATTGAGGCCACAGACCCTCAGCACTGAATCCACAGTTGTGTATCAGGGGAACCACCCCCAATATTTCACATAGGTTCTTTTCTATTTCCCTAAGTGTCAGTCGGTCTGAGAAATAAAGGGAAAGAGTGCAAAAGAGAGAAATTTTAAAACTGGGTGTCCAGAGGAGACATCACATGTTGGCAGGTTCTGTGATTGCCCCCCAAGCCACAAAACCAGCAAGTTTTTATTATTGATTTTCAAAGGGGAGGGAGTGTATGAATAGGGTGTCGGTCAAAGAGATCACATGCTTCACAAGGTAATAAAATATTACAAGGCAAATGGAGGCAGGGCAAGATCACAGGACCGGGGTGAAATTAAAATTGCTAATGAAGTTTTGGGCACACATTGTCATTGATAACATCTTATCAGGAGACCAGGTTTGAGAGCAGACAACCGGTCTGACTAAAATTTACCAGGCACGAATTTCCTCGTCTTCATAGGCCTAGGAGCAATATGGGAGACTGGGGTTTATTTCATCCCTTATCTGCAACTGTAAAAGACAGACATTCCCAGAGCGGCCATTTTAGAGACCTCCCCCTAGGAATGCATTCTCTTTCTCAGGGCTGTTCCCTGCTGAGAAAAAGAATTCAGTGATGTTTCTCCTATTTGCTTTTGAATGAAGAGAAATATGGCTCTGTTCCACTCAGCCCACAGGC